TCATCATAAATGTACGTTTCTTTATTTTATTAGATAATATGTAAGTAAATATATTATTTAAGTTAAGTATAAATGACACGATGTAGATGAAATCAATTGATAGATAGTTGGATGTGGGTAGGGATTACTATTGATACCGGCTAGTTGCGTTCGGTTAATTTTATTCCTGAGGTGCTGGTCCTACCTTATCGGAATATCTTATGAGTCCTCTAGGTCGTTTTAGTGAGTCTTAATTTCGTCCCGTTATTTTATTCTGAACTTGCTGGGCCTTGTTGTTGTGGACAGGATGCAACAGCATTGACGTTAACCGGTGGTTTAAGGAACATGACGTATCGCTGAAGTAGATATATGAGCAGTTCAACTCACGGTGCCTGTAAGTTAATGTAGTGCCTCAAAGAGCTAGATTATTACAGCAACTCTCATTAAACTGTTTTAAACAGCTGAGGTAACCCAATGCTGTATCTGGCATAAATGACAGGAACTGTTGGACGGCATCCACCAGTATTTGTTGCATCATCTTTGTAAAAGCTTCTAACCGCTCAAACAGTTTTCGTTGCAATACTTCAGTCATTTCCTGTTAGTGGATAAAGTATATGCCTACCTGGAGTGATTCAGCTGAATCCTCATAATAAGCTAATATATGCTAGATTTGCACACTGGCATAATTGTACCATCAGGTAGTTAATGCATGCAAATGCATTCCTTCGTAATTCTATCACAAAAATACATACTGGTCTAAAATTAATTTGAGGGACTCCTCTTTTTTATCAAATTCTCTACGTTCGATAGATTTCTTTTACATACAATCGTTTTCAGACTGGTTATGTTGGCAACAAATTGCTCAATTATCCATGTAAGTGTACAATTCTTTAGGTATTCAACTGGTTTCAATACACTACTGTATATATAGGTTTCCAGTGAATATCTGATTCGGGGTACATAGTCTGACAATATTTTCAGATATTTTACTATCTAAGCTGGCACGACATTCGTATGTTTCTTTATTATTACTAATTACATAGACTTAGCTCCTTAGGGATCTGGCTGTTCCCCGAATTTGCCATGAACTTTTATAATATCTTAATACTGTATTTACAGATTGTATTGTCCAAGATACTAAGTTTGAACAAATTGTTATATCGAATTCAACTGGATTAACATAAACGTTGTTTAAATTCTCTAGAATTTAATAGGTTTTAAAGGTCGATGCTATAAACATTAGTTTGATCTCTGTATTTATAAAAAATTTCCATTTAATCAGATACTCCGTCTCTTAGTAGGTGAACTTCGTATGATGTTCTTCTCTTGGATTGTCTCCACCGAGCCTTCTGTGGGAATCCTATATTTGGCTATAATCTCATTAATTGAAGATCGTACGTCATTCAGCAAAGGAGTACTCATATAGTTATAAAATTCTCAATAGAGATGCTCTTTCTACGTTCCGATTTTCAGTATTCGTCTTAGTTCTAATTAGACAAAGTGCCATTTGTTCCTGGTAAGACCTTGTGAGAATTCTACTCTCGCACATCTTCATTGATTGCCCAGTGCTGAGCCAACATCCGTGCTATACAGTTAGGTAGGGAAAAGGTGTTTAATTAGTGGTTCACAATTTGTTTACTCATTTATTCATTCGCAAACCACCGGGACTTTTTTCTATCTTCGTCTAGCCGCTACGTACGTAGTGGTGAGTGCCCTGATCATAGGATCGGTCAACACGTTGACTGCCAAGAAAAACAACAGCGTTTTATGTATTACTTATTCTTTTTCTAGCAGAGATAAAAAGGAAGAATTATTAATTATTTGTATCATCATAATTTTCACATTACACTACTTATTTACGGTACTCAACATTTTTAATCGACATTACTTATCTTACAAGTTATAATTATTTTCTTGTAATTTGGAAGTTTCGGTCATCAGTGACCGCCGTAGCAGTCAATGTGTTAACTGATAACAAGAGTGAAATTCGTGCATTCCCTGGAATAGAAATAGTGGGAGGCTGGCTGAACAAATATCATTTGTCGGAGGAGAAACAGTTAGACACCCCTGGCGTAGAAGAATCAAGAAAGAGCCAACTAGCACTTTTAAAACAAGTGATATTAGTAATACTTTTCTATCGGAGTATATACTAAAACAATCGCTTGTAATACCAATAGAAGTTATAAATACATTATGCAGTAGAATTCCGATTGTCTGATATGGTCAAGACTGAGACAGTGCCGAATAATTGGACTATTCCTATATATGATGAACATTGAAAATATAATTTAAAAAACAACAGAATAACGTAGTAATATAATTTATTAACGAAAATGGGACATATCAAATAAAATATATAAGTGTAAAACATTTTTTTTTAATTTCTTGTTTTGTAAATAATGTCGTTATATTAGCTTATTTTGTCACCTTTAATCTTTTGTTAAGAAATTGATTTTGGAGGATATGAAGATTCATGAATTCATTTGTTTTATTCCCGAAGGGAAGAGTAGTAGGAATAAAGAGATCGGTAAATTGAGGACTGGATAATAGGGATTCTACTGTACTATATTATGTTATGAACTTTTATTTTATATATTTCTCATCCTAATAATAATTTATCTTGTAACTAAGTTAATAAACAGATTATTAATATATAAAAAAAGTTTCACTATAATTGGAAGTTCTCCGCGAAGACGAATAAAAATTTAATTTTTTATTGGTGGATGACTAATTTTAGTTTTAGAGCATTTGATCGTTAACCATGCACGTTTGAAGAGTTATTAGTAAAATAACTTTGAAAATATCAGTGGATTAGAATCGTGGTTTGGCAGATTTCAATCAGTAAAGGTTTCTTGAAGATATAATTTCAATAAAGATAAAATATTTAAACAAAGATATCAAACAAGTACAAATGTCAACAATAAACTATTGTTTCTGGAAAAGTTATATTTATGAGATGGTTATTTTTATTTTATTAACAGGTTGATTGCTATGTAATACTTTTGTTTTTTACGTAATACAGTATTAAAACATTCAATTGCAGAATAAGTTCTACAAAATAATGCAATATTTTAAAGCAAACTAAAAATGAAGTTAATTTTATATTTGACGTTTATATTATAAATGACGTGACTTTTTTTATGTTATTAACTTCATACTAAGAATGTTATACAGTATATAAATATTTCTTTATATTTGCTTTAATCTTTATTTAAAAAAGAAGACAACAAATTTTAATTTATTTTAATTAACTTTAATGTTTGCCCGCATTACATAATTGTTGGATAGTCTTACCTGATTATATACACATAATATATGTCTTCCAAGTTTGGTTCAAAAAAGTACAATGTTTCGGAGAGCAATATCTCGTAAAAGAATTGAAAACATCTGTATGTCAATTTAGATCAAAATTATGATCAACGATAGGATTATTTGCAATAATTTATTTAAAACATTCATAATTCTTTTACATAAAGTAAGAAAAAAGAAGATGTTGGATATTTTACAAATGCAAAGAAGAAAGCACTTAACAGTTTGATCCATGCGTATATATTTTGACCAAAAGGCTTGTCTATAAAAATAAGAAAATATATTTTTTCGGAGTGAAACCGTCAGACTGAAGAATAAAAGTAATATATTTTACAACAGTACTATATCTTTGTAATAGATATAATAAACTTCATTATAAGTTGTAACAAATAATTGAACAATATTTTATGTAACAACAGTATTTAACTCAGTTTTAGTATATAAAATTTACAAAAATATAAATGAATTGTTTCGATAAAAGAAATTTTTTGTTTCGCACGTTTGGTAATACTAATTCGATGCAGCAGAAATATAATACATTGACAATAAGAGAGGACTAAAATCTAATGTTCATAAGAATTTATGAAAATTAAGGAAAGATAAAATACAAATAGTGTATTTTCCTCAGTCCCCTCCGAACCGTTCTATCTATATTTAAAGGCAAGTTTAATTTTAAAGTTTGAAATATTCAAGCACTTATATACCAACTTATATTTAAAATATCCGAAAATCTCGCACCATTTGTTAAAATTGGCACAAAATAAAAATTTACAAACAATTGTATTCAAAATTTCCGTGCTCGTTTAAAAATTGTTTCTAAGCATTCATACGAAAAAATGGCGTCTAATAATCTTTTTCTTATTTTTTAAAAAACTTTCTAACAGTTCAACTTTATATAAGGTTTGCATTGGATGCGCGTGGATTAATCACGTCTATGATACAACTAAATAATTTTTGCATAATTAAAACAATTAATATCATTTTCAACTATACGATATTTTGTTTTAAATGCTATCTTCGATTGTAGAATTGTTTGAGTGGAATAATATATATACTTAAATTTTGAAGTTTTGTTTTATTAGTTATTTAAAGTGGCATTGACATAAAGTTGACGCTTTTAGAAAAGAAAGTTGTTATTATTAAAGTTACAACACTGAATTTTTGCCACAGAATGCTGCTTTTCGGCATCATTAAGGAGTTGGTTTTGTTTACCAATACTGCTAATGTTAACAGACACGTAAAAATATCAGTAACCAGCAACATCTATAAAGCAGCAGAATTACGTTTCTTTTAGTTACCTGTTCTCTTCTAAAGTTAAAATATTGAAAACAAAAATACGACAATTAAAAAGAGAAGTTTCTAAATGCATCACTTTTATTACTCTTTACGAAATGATAAAAGCATCTCTCAATTATTTTTGAATAAGCGTAAAATCATTTAATGAATTAAGGAGAATAATTTTTTAGAAAGGTATTCCTTGTTTTAAAAGATTTTCTGATTTATTTTATACATAATTCTACAAATTCATCATTGCGGTTTAGAATCTTACAATGGTCTCTGTGTAATATCAGTAAATGATCTAACTTTCAGTGATGTAACCGTGGTATCATAGTAAATTAATAATAATTTATATATTTATATCTACACCTTCTAAATGTGCAATCAATATCTGAAAAATAACGCATCGGCAAATTCTGCTCATTTGAACCGAATTTAAATTTGTAAAAAGTTGTTATATGAAATGAACCAAAATTATAATATAATATTTGTTTAATAAGCAGATTACAAGTATTTTGATAAAATTTACTAATTCAGGTGGTTTGAGTCTGACATGGACATTATTATTAAGTTATCATACTTTACCATTTAAAGAAAGGACATCTTCTACTAAGATAACTACTAACTATGCTTTGCCATGGTTGAAGCTTTTACGAAAACCTCCATTCTGGTAATTTAATTATTAATAAATTATAAAAATAAAAAAATGTTTTTTATAAAAATTAATAATAAAAGTCAAAGAAAATATATAAATTTCATCTTAGATTGTATATTTCAGGTCATGTGTAATAGGTCATGCTTGCCAAAATAATTGTTTTTTTGTATTATTATCATGGATGCCAACATATTTTCATGATACATTTCCTGAAGTGAAGGTAATTACTAAATTATAGATATTTATGTACTTAAGACATATACAAAGCTTTGAAATATAAAATCGAAAAATTCCTGATAATATATAATACAATTTTTTCTCTAGTTTGTATTTAAGCAAACTTTTAAAAAAAAAGGGAAAATTATTTTCCTTCAATTTGATTATTTATACATACTGTATAAAAATGTGTTAACATAAACATTAGTCTATTTATTGTTAAGTTTTCAGGTATTAACACTTTATAAAATTCTGTAATTAATTTTATTTCATTCGTTTAGAGCTGGGTTGTAAATATGGTACCATGGTTGTCCATGTTACCTTGTACATTTTTGGGTAAAGCCCTTTCTGAAAAAATATTAAAAGCAGGATATTCTGTCACTGTAACACGTAAAACAATTGAAACAATATGTTTTGTTACGGAAATAATAAGTCTTCTATTTCTAGGTATGTGTACAATTGTATTACAAACAAACTTTATCAGTAAAATTAAATGTAACATTATTTTAGCAAAAGTGGAAACCTTTCAAAGTGCAATAATTTGCCTTGCATTTATAATTGGTGGATCAGGCTTTCACAATAATGCAATTGCTGTAAACCCTTCAGATCTTGCACCAAAACATTCTGGAAGTGTATTTGGATTAATGAATACTGTTGGTGCAATCCCTGGTATGCTAAAAACAATCCTATGTTTTTCTTCCTTTAGAAAAAAGTAACAGGATTTACATTTTTCAGGATTCTTGGGAGTATACTTTGCAGGACATATTTTACATGTAACACACAGCTGGCCTGTTGTCTTTATATTTATTGCTATAATTGATGCATTAGGATGTGTAATATATTTATTATTTGGATCTGGTCAAGCAATTATATAAAAATATGATCTGTTACCTCCGTTTTTCTAGTAAAAACTTTTAGTCTAAAATTAATCATATAGGTTATAAACAATTTTAAATTAAATAAAACATTAAAAGTTATAATATTTCGTAACACCATATCAAAATAAGGTATTTTTTAAAAATAATCAATGATATACTTTTATATTTTTAATAATAATTGAAACTATTTTTAATTTTCGTACTTCATTTATACTTGTTTGTTCATTTATTTCTAATCATAAGAATTACAAACATATAATTAACAAGGAACATCGTTTATTTAATGTAGATTTAAAATAAGTTTAATTTAACGGTAAAACATAAGTTCACTCTCTTAAGTGTAATATCTATGTAATTTTCTGTTATGTGACAATAAAAGATAATTGGTTAAAAAATTGTTTAATGACTACTCCTTACCAATCATCTTACTACATTTCTCAAGGATGTATTTCAAACATGATGTGTTCAATATTAAAGAGATTTTTCAATTGGCGATAGTTACCGCGACGGCCAATACAGTGCTGGGCACGTACAAGTGTCGCTCACATGAGATCATGCCTTGCGGTAGGATGGAGCAAATACCCGATGCCTTTTTTAACGCGAGCATGTGAACGGATCTCGAGACTCGAATTTTCGATTCAGAACATCTAGTGAGAATTAGCATACGCAGCAGGGATAATTGCGGAGGTTGAATTTTATTTTCGACGAGAAGATCGTGTTGCTCGTTTGCGCGAGATTTTTTATGGACGCGTGGTTCGTTTATTGGTGCTCGTCATCTTCATCCATCGGTCGGTCGCGCCTGTCTCTGCTTGCTGCCGCGAATGTGGATACTTCACGGTGCGCCGTGCTGCTGCTGCTGCTGCCGCCGCTGTGCGTTTGATGTGCTCATCACGGCTAATTGTCCTCGGATTCTGACGAGACTTGCACATTCGTGAACGGTTTGGAACTAGTTCGTTATTGTGCCAGGCCCCGCCGTGATTGTCACTTGATAGCAACACCCGAGGCGCCAAAGCTGTCCGCATCGGCGCTTTCTTCAGCCCAAGTGGTATCAATGTTGTCTGGCAATGGTGTGTAAGGAGAACGTGGTATCATGGTTTGGGAATCTGTCCAGGTAATGGAAATATCAGTAGCCACTTTCCTGGTTTATACCATATTCTCCTTTCTTTCTCATAAACATGTTAAAACTCTTTTCTTCTCGACGTGCTGTTACGTTTTTCACCGTGACCTCCTCATCCTTCTTACCAAATTTCGAGCTAACCAAAAAAAAACTTCCTATCGTGATCTTATCTTCACTCCTTTTGTCAGAAAATACGGTGGATGTAATGATAACTGCAGAATTACGAACACTTTCATTTTCATTGATATCTAGTTCACTTGAGTGTAGGAAATGTAATTTTTTTATATATTACACAGAAATACCATGTATGGTAGTAACTATGTTTTCCCATAACTTATTATATACTTACAGTAGAACAAGTTGATATTCACTTTCCAAAATAATCTAGAATAATGTACGTTATTCTTTATTTATATTAATATCTATAGGATTTAGAATTCTTATTGAACAGTTAAAGATTTATTAAATTAATATCATTGAAATTAAATGTATTTATATTTTATTATAGTTTTATACGAAGACAGTATTCTTATTTTTATGTACATTACATTTAAATAGTTTATTTTATAGCATTATTTAATAAGACTACCGAAGTTATAACAAAATTGTTCATAAAATTTGTTAAGAAT